ACCTCTATAAATCTTGTGTGTTCTTAATTGTTTATTTTCTTTCTTTAAAATTGATTGCTCGAATAAAATTAGGGTTTATAATTATTAACACATTGAGTACAGAGTTACCAACAAATAAGAAAAATATTTAGGATGTTATTGAAGAAAATACATGTATACATACCCCTTTGGACTAGATTTTCTCCGACATCCCATTTTCGGAGGGCGAGTAAACATGCTAATGTGCAAGAAAGATTGTCTTTGACAAGAGAAGGATGGCTTGGATTTGGACCCCATGACCCATCTTTGTGTTGATGTTCGATGATCCAATCTAAGCATTGTGGAAAATAAGGTTTGTTTGGAGTTTCCAAGGAGGGTACCATGGCCACCCATGCCGTGTCGTAAGATGAAGCCGATAACTCATGAACGTTCCCAAACGCCGCTCTTATCCTCTCGATTGAATCCTCAACATTCTGCAAAGAAATATTATATTAAACAAACTGTTGGGACATACGTGAAAGTGGATTAAGAAATTGATTAAATTATACAAATGAAATGTTATAAGAATGTGTAGGAATAATACATCCAATCAAACGAAGTCAAAAGTATTTAAACAATTTTTTTTTTTGCCAAAGAGATAAATATGCAATATTTAGTTAGAAAAAAAAATAGAGATTACAATGTCGTATCAAGTAGAGAACTATCGTGTTACCTCTACTAAATTTTCTAAGATCCAAGTAAAAGAACAAACTCACCACAAACTAGTTTTATGATGATACTTCAGGAAATTAGAAAGTGAAAGGCAAAATCTGAACAAAATCCCAACACTTCCAATCCTTTTTAAATGATATTATTTATCATTAGTTGTCAACTTCACCAATTTAGGTGGTAGTGGACCCATAGATTCGTCGTCTAATGAATAAAAAAAATTATCATAATTCCATTCGACAATGAATCAAGAATGATTACTATTAGCGCAACTCTTTTTTTTTTTTTATCTTTTGGTTGCTATTTCGAAAGGAAAAGATAAATTCTAGTGCATATTATTGACGATAGTTCACTGCACTTATACAATCAAGTAGGCTATTTACAAAAATAATGTATAAGGTAAATTTGCATTATGTCCATATAATTGCCACCTATTGATTTGTGCCAAATATATCCGAATCACCAGCCGAATGTGTGTGGACATTAATCAACATTAATCCCTTTACCCTCCCGTTAACGGAGCAATGTGGAGATTGAGCTTTGACCGAAGGAATGTAAACTGATCGCGAGAGAGGCCTTTAGTAAAGGGATAAGCAAGTTGGTGAGAGGAGGGAAAATAGCAAGTTACGAGAGATTTACAGGCGACGAGTTCCCGAAAAAATGATAATCGATCTCAATGTGGCGAGTTCTAGCATGGAACGAGGGATTGGAAACCAGTGAATGGCTGAGACATTATCGACATAGATGCACGTAGTGCATGAGACCGGAATGCCAAGTTCGTGAAATAGATAATCAAACCAACGAAGTTCCACAACTGTATAAGCAAGGGCTCGATATTCAAGTTATGTACTGGAGGGAGAGACGGTGATCTACTTCTTGGCAATCCAAGTAAGAAGAGTGGGCCCTAAAAAGATGCATGCCTTATTTGTAGACCTGTGATCATCAATAGAGCGAACCCAATCAGACTCAAGAACCCATGTGGGAAGAGCTCGGAAGAGCGATGCAACACGAGGCCATGTTCAAGAGTGTCTTTCACACAGTGAAAGATATGTTCGATGACTTGTAAATGAGTGGTGGGGGGACTATGCATGAACTGACAAACTTGGTTGACCGCAAAAGAAATATCATGGCGAGAGAATGTAAGATACGAAAGACCACCAGCCATGCTCCGATAAAGGGTGGGTCGGAAAGTGGATCGCCGTCAATGCAAGAGACCCAAGTGTCCGATGGAAGTAAAATGGGACTTGGTTTACGATCATATTAAACCATTTGTGGAGATTAATTGCATACCTAGTTTGTGCCAGAAAAAGTGAGGAGGATGTGCTCGATATTTCCCTACCTAGGAAAAATGAGAGACCACCCATCAGAGTGGCTGTGAGTGAACTGGTGATCCAATAGGAGGGAGTGGAGACGTTGAAACCAAGCACGAGGGGCCTACTTAAGGCCATTGAGAAACTTATGAAGGCGATAAACATGGTGATGCCGAGAGGGATCATGATAGCTCGAGGTTTGCTTCATGTAGACCTTTTCTTGTAGGACCCTGTTTAAAAAGGCATTCCGAACATCAAGTTGTTGAAGTGGCCAGCCATAGGAAGTAAAAAGGGTAACAATTGTATGAATCGCAGCCGGTTTAACCACTGGACTAAATGTTTCATCAAAATCAAGACCTTCCTTCTGATTAAATCCCTTGGCCACAAGATGCATGCCTTGTAGCGATCAATGGACCCATCCAAATTTCGCTTCACTTTAAACACCAATTTACAACCCACAATATTCATAGAAGGGAATGCCGGGACTAGCGACATGTGTTGTTATGTATGAGAGCATCATACTCATCGTTTATAGCAAATTCCAATTATTATACCAGGCAGCAACTGTAAAACGGGTGGGTTCATGATTTAAGGTATCTGACAATATAGCAGGGAGGGCAAGGGACGAAGGTTACAACTAGTTTGGGAGTAGATGGATGAGAGGGAACATATTTCTTTTGGAGGGTTCAGAGAGTCTAGGGAAAAAGATGGAGAAGCTTGGATGGTTTCTGTGTAAGTATGGATGGGATGATCTGGGCTGAGGATATCAGTGTGTGTATGAGTGAGTTGGAGAGTTGAGTTGGTGTAACGCGAAGACAAGTCCAAAGAAGAGTTTAGAAAAGCGAAGACCCAAGGGAGATGAAAGTCCATGCATGGAAGAGGAACCTGAATGAGAGGAAAGCCCCATAGAGATATCCATTGAGTCAATAGGTAGGAGGAAAATGGGATAATTATATAAAACCAGCTATTTAGTTTTAAGTTTCTGAAAATCAGGTTTTAGCTTTATTTAAT